GGAATGCTCCTACGCAACACTCCTGCTGACTCCAGTAGCCTGGGCCAGGGTCGCTTTGCTAGCCCCGTGGACCCACTTAGTTGTGTACGCCTTTCCTCCCTTCCCGCTAGTTCACCAGGCACCGGAGAAAACTTCAACACGTGCTCACCCGCATATTATCATGGGTCGCACCCAATTGGCCAAGCAAGGCCAAGTTTCCACTTCTGTTGGAAATGCTAGTCAAAGCGCCAGCAGTGCTTCCGGACTTACCGGACCTGCCGTCCCAACCAGACGGCGCACTACCAACGAGCCCAGCAGGTATCACTTACACATATAGAGGCTCTCAGTAGACCCGCACATACGAAAGCTTTATCTGAGCGGGCTGCCAACATCCTGGCCAGGGCGAACAGGGATTCCACCTACGCGGCCTACATTTCTAGGCTGCAAGCATACAATGATTGGTGTAGCGGAAGGGAGATTGATCCTCACCATCCCTCTATTGGGCAGGTAGCAGGCTCCTTCGTCCACCTGTTTGACGAAGTGGGTTTGTCCTACGCAGCGATTGTTGGCTACAGGTCGGTCTTGTCCCCCACCACTCAAAACGTATGGGAACAAGACTAACCGATTGTCCTACTATTAGAAGACTATTTACTGCTTTCCGGATGCCAAGACCCCATACAAGGGAGCGGCCCAACTGGGACTCGTTGGCTGTGTTGTCTGCTCTAAGCAGACCGCCCTTTGAGCCTCTCCAATCAGCACCACTCACATTTTTGACGTAGAAAATAGTCTTCCTACTGGCCCTCGCCTCAGGTAGGCTCCAGTCAGAGTTAGGTGCACTGTCCTTTGTGGAAGGTTGTGCCGCCTTATGAACGATCAAGTTGTACTAAAGACACGAATGGGGTTTCTCGCCAAGAACCAAATCCCAGGACACGATCCTCAACCGATCATCATCCCCCGGCTGGCAAATATTGTCGGCCCGGAGGATCAGGAGGAATTGATTCTCTGCCTGGTCCGAGCGCTGAGTTGCTAAGAGAACCGTACCAGGTTTTCCAGATGGGTAACCAAACACATGTTTTTGTGTTACGACCCTGGCAAACAGGATAAGCCGGCTTCCCCGACTTCCATCTCCAGGTTGATTACTGCGACTGTACTGGAGGTCTATAATACACAATCCTCCTCAACACAGACCTTGCAGAGACACCAAGTATGAGCACATGAGGTCCGTGCGATTGCTAACTCACTAGCGCTAGCGTCTGGCGCCCCCCCCCCCAAACACATTCTGAGGGCACGCTTCTGGAGAACGCAGAACGTCTTCATCAACTACTACCTAAGAGACGCCCAATCTATTGAGCAGGGTTTCTTCAGGTTAGGCCCCATCGCAGCGGGTCAGGCCTTGTTTGCTGACCCAGCCCGAACGACTGCAGGGGCCTCTGCGCATAGGCGATAAGACAGTGTCGGCATTTTTGCGGGCAGATTGTCTGTACAACTAGCACTTCCTGGAAGCTCCCAGGTTTCGCTTCTGTCGACCTACGCCCTCATGCGAACTATTTCGGTCCTACTTCAAGCTTATCACCCCCGAATTCTGCTTGGGTCTAGCTTTCTCGGGCACACCGAACCCTGTCACCACAGCAGCATTGGCTTCTTGCTTCGGGGACAGCACAGGCAAGGTAAGACACCACCCTTCTTGGGTCTTAACTTAGGTTTTGAGTTTGTTTTCATCCCGGACTGGGGAAAAGTCTTTCATCATTCTCCTTTTTTTCTGTTTGCTCAGAAAAACCTGCCACCTATCATTCTCCTTTTTTCTGTTTGCTCCGAAAAACCCGCCACCTATCGGTGTCTGACTCTGCCTACAGTTCAAAATAGTCATTTTGACTGACCAGAATCTATGGTGGGTAATTGAACGTAGTGAATTTAGGCGAGGGTTCTCCGAACCCGCCTATTCACATAGTTCATACCCACCATAGACTCCGGGTCCCCCCAACCTCCCCACTCTTTCCGTTGTGTTGGTCTAAGTCCTCGATGCGGAGAGAAAAGAACCAGAGTGAATACCCATATGGTCTCCGTCACATGCTTCGTGACATACGGGAAATGAGTTTTGGGGTCATGGGGATTCCCCTGACCTAGATTCTATCTCTCCATCATTGGCAGAATCGCTGATGAA